AGGCATTTAGAAAGTGCAAAAGACTTCAACCTAAAATGGTTTGGCTAGTTATTTACAATAATTCATTTGTCAGTACAACTGTATAACCTTGTATTCGCTATATATTAATCTTGTTGTTATGAATCAGAGGAAGTAGTTAATTTAATAACTAGAGCTAAATAGAACGCTTTGATTGAAAAAAAATATATAGTCGTAGTGTATGCGCTTCGCTTATACCTGTGTGAACCATTAGTGCCGTACTATGCCTAAAAACAGAGTTGTGACCGTTTCTTTCAAGCATTTGATTAAACTTATCGCAGGATTTGTCTGACGTGTTCAAAGATAATAATCAGCTAATGCTAAAAATGAGCATTCCGAAGGATACAAGGTTTATAGTGTATCTTAAAGAATGTTCACCTAAATTAATTACTAAGCTCCGAGATATGGTTTTCCACTCACAAATACAATAAAAGTACTGACGTGGCAGCCACAGTGACCAGTAGTGATAAATCCTATAATAGATGGAATAAGTACTCAAAGTAAAGGATTACATTGCATACATGATCTATGAACAACTTTGACACACTCACGCAATACACAATACAACTTAAGGCACTCTTTCTGTTAAGGAAAAATTGTGCAAAATATCTTTTTTTTAAGGGTCTTATACATAAATATGTTCAGGTCTGTTTATTTGATTGTTTGCATCAGTGAGACCCGACATAAAGTTGACGGTACCTGCTCCAAGAAAAATTAGCAATAATCAAGATAAACTATTTCATGGGTTAATCAATTATTTATACTATTTCCTGACTTATTTCATCTGTTATTCCTGAGTTATTGAACGTGTGAAACAAATTATCTTTGCTACGATTCTACAGTACACCCATATTCTGTTGTAATAGACAAATAAAGCTAATAGACCCTCATGTAAGTAGCAAATAAAGTAGCAAAGTAGCAAATATATAAACAATTTAATAGTGGATTGGTTGATTTGTAAAGGTAAAAAAATGTATTTATAGGTATTATTTTGGTTTTGAGTGAATGTATTATACAAGGTATAAGCTATTACCGTAGGTCTCATAGCAAGACCTAGACCCGTGGCCGATTTACTTTTTCGTTTTGAGGTCCCTAGAGGCAAAAGACAACCTCCATTCAGATTCATATATATCTTATGTTACAGACAAAGTATATAATCAGGCATTCTATGCAATACCTAAAATAAAGTATCAAATAGAGCTTATTATATACTTTGCGTAGTCATTCTAAAGAATACCTGTTGGCACTGTACAAATATCTTATCGTTCAAGTTACTTCATACTTACTCTCTAAAATCCTCGGACATTGTATGGAATGTCTGCATTATATACTTTGGATGTAAAATATATAATATAGTCCGTTAGCGAGATAGCTCAAGAAAAGAAATCTGATTTAGACGACATTTATAAAGGTTAGCCAAACCGTTTTCTACAGGAATGAATGAGCAGGTAAAACTAAACGTGTGGTCATCAGTGCTACACAGTTTGCCGGCCAATAACACTAATTGGAATCTGTGATCGGATTTTGAATAATTACCTATGTAAAATGGCTGGAATGAAAATTTGACTTATTCAATGTTCACGCATCATAGTTTTTGGTGGAAATTTGTTTACGTTGTTTAGTGATTGATGGAACATAAACAATTAATTATTTACCGTAACCAATTATTTATTTATATAACAATACCTTACCTAATAAAATCGTGGGTTAAAGAGAACAATAATTTTTTTTATTTATCTTTGAATGAAGACTGAAAATAACCATACGAATTACTTTTGGAGTGATTTTTCGTGTTTCAGTTTAAGAACGAAATTTTATCATGGTGACCTGCCAATTATTATTTAGAATAATACTTGATCGGTATATTGGTTGGATAACAAGACCTTAATAAAAAGTAAGAAAATTGCAAGACCTATAAACTCAGGCAAGAATTACAACTGTTTTAGAGGCCCGTGCCTATTTCAATAATTTTATAAAAAAATATATTTAATGTCCACTTCCACTTAGCAGTCAGCATATTAAAAAAAATGTTCTTAGTACATTAACAAAACATTTTTATTTCAAAAGTAAAATAGAACCAAGTTGATAAATTAGGTATAGAATATTAGTATTTAACAAATAATTACAATTGTGTGTTTGAATAATTTGATAAGGAGAGGTATGTAGTACAAAGATTCTAGGAACCGGAATATGATTAGTCTGTACGTGATCAGCTAAAATCATGAATCTGAAAAAATATACAATAAAAATTATATTTTAGCTCTGTAACGCAAACCTATCTATATACACTAAAAAGCAAGTTATTTTTGTTTTAATTGTTGTATCTTGTTCGGTAGAAACGGTTGAATGAATCTAATATATTCAAACGCAAGAGTTTTAGTTTTTTTTTTTAGATTATTAATTAACCACTTGATCGATTTTTATGTTTTTTGTTGGGAATAAATTATAATTTAATAAAAGGGGATGTTTAAGCCATAATTATAATTTGGAATTTAAGTTTTTTAGACATGAAATTGCCATAAAAAAAGTCTAACAGCCGCGTTGGTACATTTTAAGTTTGTTTTAAAGTAATTTGGTTTTACTATTAGCTGATTTCAAACTGATTACAAGTGGTTTAGACAAATATTAATCGGTATTACATTTTTTTACGATGTTCCTAAATGCACTTTTTCACCACACTATGATGTTTTTAACTGTCTTACATACGTTAATACGTGTAAGAAAGTTATGGTTTGCTGGCCATGCCAGCTGTCAACGTTTTTTGGGGAGCGGGCAGGTTTTTACATCCCAAGGGCCGCAAAATCAGCTGCCCGCTTACTTTCTTAAAACATGAATGCATATTAAACACACAATCAGTATCCATAGCATTGCAATAGAATTGTTTAATTATCACCGCTACCTAGGAACTATTTAATATTATGTTTGCTGATTCCTCAAATTATTTCTTCACATAACCTTAAAGTTGTAGTTGTAGTGACTATCAGTGTGCATTATTATTGTGGTAAATAGTGGTAATACAGTGTGGTGAAAAATTGCGTTCGTACCACGGACCCAAATGGTTTTGCAGCTATCGATCGTTTTAAGTTCTCGACTTCGTCTCTAACTTAAAAACTATCTCGCACCAGCAAAACCTCATTTTCGGCCCTAGGTACGAAACATACTATTTGCTTACAGGTACCATAAAGTATTTGCGTCTTCAGGAAATTAATATAAGTTTCCTCTTAAATATAATCTGTTTAAAAATAAGTGCATGCTGTAGAAATGTTAAGTCATGTTAAGGAAATATTTTCAGAAAACTATTGTTTAATCAATTTATTAAGTTATACGTGGTTTGCGTGTTGACATATGAGAAGTTCGAACGTCTGTCTGTCAACGTATCAAAATGCTGGTTAGTTACAGAAATGTCAACCGCTACAGCAGGTAGGTATTCAATATTGGTCTCTAGAAAACTGTTTGTCTATATGGCTGTCAGTAGAACTATTTCTGAGTTTTTTAGGGTGGTATAGAATATTCTAGGGTGTTTTATGACTTTCAAAATCAAAATATTATGAATATGAGTGATAAGTTAGTAGTTTGTCTATAATGTTCTACCATAGAAAAAGAATATTTCACATATTTGTATATTCAATGATACCCAGATTTATGTACATCTATAAAACATAAATAAACGTATTTTGTTCATGCATTTTATTGTACAACATTTATTGTATTTTATCTGGGCTGCTAGTATGTTTAAAAAGTATATATATATATATATAAATATATTTTAGCACTTGAAAAATGTTTGACAAATTGTGAGGAAATACTTACTTAAGCAAACTCTTATACTGTCATCAATATAGGTAATGTGGGAAACATTTCAAATAAAACAAAAAAGCAAAAAGATTACTTCCTCTCAGCATTGACATTAAGCTCTACCAGATTACCAGATAATATCGCTGATCCTTTAAGGATTACCACTCTATCGGCTTGTGTCATTTATTATCTTCCTGTTGGGATAAAACTGGAATAAATACACCAGTCTAAATTGAACCCGAATTTAATTTATTTTTGGAAATAACTACAAGACTGCACTTTATATCATCTTTTCGTTATTCTTAAGGAAGATTTACTAAAAAGCTTCATTAATCGACTGAAAAAATCATCCGTTTTGTAATTTTGCTTTCAGGCCAAAGCTTGTCGAGTCGTAAAAAGAAAACCGAAAGACAAATTTTAAATAAAAGTTTTAAAATACCGTTACCACTCCATTATAGACCTGAAGTTTAAAATATAAACTCTAAGCATATCCGTTCATATACTGTAGATATTGTTTATATGGCAGATCGGTATATTATTGATTTACTCTAATCAAAATAGGATACAAAACTTGAATAGTAAAAACTATCAGAAACAATTAAAACAATCTTTAAGCTAAGACTCTTTTAACAGCAAGTTAATACAGAAGTTAAACTCTAATAATAAATTACTACCATATTATAATCATTTAACAGTGGGTTTTTGAAAACTCTCTAAATTTAAAAGTGTTAATTTATTAGTAAGTAACAATTATCACATTATGGTAATTAGTCTAACCTTGCAGGCCAACTTTTTATTGCAAGAACATCCATTGCTTTTTAACAGTTAAAACTACCATTGCTATTGAACTACAAGAATGCTTTAAAAATATAGGACCTGATTATTTTTACTAGGGTACATGTATAAACAACAATACAAGGTTTCAACTGCTGTGACTACTATGACCGCATTTTTTGAAGGAAAATATAATGAAAATATATAAAGTGGTTCTTTTTTATTTCTTTGTTTTTTTTTACATAAGTGAAGCCAATTTGTAATTATTTAAACATTATAGAAGCCGATTAGACACACATTGATACACAGGACTTACATGTATACTTAGCAGGTATCGGATTGTTTAAAACAACTCATTGAATACGCTGATATGTAACATTTGTGAGGATGATACGAATGAAATGATGATTTACCTTGAGCGAACGTAGTATCCAAGAATGACACAGCGGCGACGAAGCAGGCCAGAAGCCCAAAGTTTGAAACGAAGGATTTCATGACTATGACACTTGACACGACACTCTGACACGGACCTGGCACAGACACATCCGTTGTGGGAGTCGGAACACTGTTAACACCATTTGACCTCCAACATTCCCCTCATTACGGCCAATTCCGTCTGTCGATGTATAATTGCGGTTAAGTACACTGCCAGTTCCGTGGGCGTGCTACTGCAACGGAGGAAGGCAGACGAAACTTGCTTAAAACGTCGTTCAAATCACTGCTCGTTAAATGAAAAATGAAACTGTCATAAAAACTTGTAAACAAATAGTTTTTATTTATTTATTTAATTGATTTTTCTATTTAAGAATTGTTTAGTTATAACTAATAAATAACCTATGGTTTTTAAATGTTATGATGTGTTTTTATGGGATACGTATTCATATTGTAAAGAAAGCATCGTACACAATATCATCTTCAATGATTAAATTACAGTTCCATACAATAATTTGTTTCTTCCCATAAAAATTACTTAATATTCACTAATTAACCTTCTTAAACGCCACTCGATGACTCAGTTAGTCTTAGGTAACAATAATCCTTCGTAAACTAGAAACTGTCACACGTATCAACTGATGTCACTGTATAATTTACACTGCAGACGTTACGTGATGTCACGTAAGGGCGGGCCGGTTAGTCACGTTCACGACGTGCGACGATGTGTACCGCTCCACGGTCGCTACTGCACTGACTGTTGGCGGCGCGCGCAGCGCTACGACGGCGGAGATACGAACTACCCCCGGCTGCTCACCACCGCCTTACAACATATTGATGGAATAATCATAATTAATAGTCGAAGATGGACGGTATTTACTCGCCGCCCACTGTACGTGCCATACGGGCGCTGCACGAGTGACCCGCAGATACAGAGGGCCACCCCAGCGCGACCCCCGCACCCGTCTCCGGGCCCACTCAACCACTCACAAACGCACACTCACGTAGCCCACGTGCACTGATGAATATGGTTGCGTTGTACAACAGCTAAGTTGCGAGTGTACCTGAACAAGTGCAGGTAAAACACAGCAAACGTAAATTAAAAATTGAACTACTTTTGAAAATAGACCCCGAAAACATGGGGTTTGAAGTAAGGGGTACATTTTTTTAGTTACAAGTGGACACACAGCTTAGAGTGGACGGTAAGCATTTCAGTCTAGGCCAAATCACAATGGGAAATGTCGATTATTGGGGTTCATGTACCTCCAGCATCCAAGTAAGAGGTACTATGTTCTAACTATGGTAAGCCGGCAGCCACATCGTCTCCGCAAATTTCTAATTAACTAGTACTTATAGTATGTGATAACAAATACGTGCTCTTCATTGTATTACACTGCAAAACCGTTAGATACTATTTAAATACTCCCTCCGCATCAAACCTGCAGATTAATCAAATGTTCATTTGCTGATTGGATTTTTTATCAAAAATTACCTTAACCTGTCAGATTTAATCCCTATATAGACCAATTTTAACGAACAGTGTTTTGGACCTCAGGTTACATAAAAAGTAAATCAGTCCTGGGTCTTCCCATGCCAACGAACTACGGCAATAATTTTCGTTGAGGAAAATGTGCTTAAGTATAGAATAGAAGGGATTTAACAAGTGAACAGATCAAACTTCCAATAGTATTCTCCAAGACGTTATTTCGTAACGCTAAAACTAGTTATTACAAGCTCATAGTAACATAAGCATTATGCTGTATAATATAAATTGCAAGCTTTTATCAAATTAAATATTACACATGTAAACAGTAACAGTTTATAGTGTTAAGTGGGTATAATACTATTACGAAAATATTCTAGAGAGTTTAATATCTATTCATTAATTCAGGACTATGAATAACGTATACCAGTACTGTAGTAAGTAGGAGTGAGTACGATGGCAGGATACGTTGACTGGTCTGTTTTATTGCGTATGTAGGGCAAATTATAATACCCCTGTCCTATTTTCCAACATTATCGTTTTATATTTCATTGGCATACATTTAAGGGTATATAAGAGAAAATATAAGAGATTAAAGTTGTAATTTATGTTTAAATTGAACTCAGCATTAGTACTCAATTAATAATTACTCAATGCTATTGGATGATTAAAAGGTAATGAGTATTCGTGTGGTTGACTCAGTACTTAACTATATTCTCAGCGCCGCTGTGCTGTTCTGCAGCAGCAGTGAAATTGTACACATGCCATTATTGCAGTGCTGTGGGTTTTGATGTAGGTGACGCTGTTTTGTATCGGATTGTGAATTATAGTGGCTGTAGTGCCACAGTAATGCACAATTAAAAGTAGTAATGCTTAGTTATATCAGTGTAAATGAAACAGTAACACACTGGAAAGAAGTTTGGTGAGGAAACTTTGTATTATTGTATTCAAAGGTATATTGTAACAGTTTCAAAGGAAGGAATCCTTACTGTAGCTGTATCCAGGTGCAGCGACATCAGCAGTGTAAGGGTGGAGACGACGGTGGAGGAGGTCGGCGGGGGTGTCATCTCCCCTGCGCCTGCGTCGGGTCCTCCCTGCACAGATTACACAGCCAATAATATACTAACTAAACGATGCCAGCACGTACAATAATCTGTAGTGTATTGTTTTTTATTCGTCTACAGTGCATACACAAAGTTTGGAGTAGCACTTGAGCTGAACCCATAGTAATTCGTACATTGTTGTTTTTAAAACTTCAAACTAAAGTGAGTATAGTAGGCATTTCTTTTATATTTTAAACCCCCTTTTTAAAATCGAACTCCGTTAAACTTTTTGTATTGAAACAGCTATGATAAATAAAGTATGTTATTTTATATGTAATGTTTTTCAGATTTATTTTTTCATAATAACACTTTTTTGCAAACTTATCCAAATTACTCTATATTTTGTAAACTGAAATAATTTACATTGAGAAAACCATAAAACACACTTGTAATAGTGAAATTTACCTACGTAACTGATTTTAACTCAAATCCTAAATTGTTATAAGAATCAATTACTCGATACAAATGAGTAAAAGTCATTATACAGTCATTGAAGAATGTATGTAAAACATTTGATGGGCACGGCACGGAAGGTTGGCCGAAGTAAATGTGAAAGAATTTCCTCTCAAAGTAGGAACTGAAGTAGCCTGTAATTCCTCGAAAATCGTAGCCTGAGGAGCACTTCGGCCAGATTTGACCTTTACCTTGCTGTATTCCTGCTCATTATGCTCTTGTTGGGCTCAAAGCACTGCCAGACAAGTATAATCAGCTGCATGGTAATCGCGTAAGACGCACGAGAATCAACTGCATGTAAGCTAACAATAAACCTGCTTTCTCAGTTAATTATTTATTTGAATACCAGTTAAACTTTTTTTAAAGTTTAAGTGTAACTATCTTATTTTTACTATATTATATTTGTACTCATTATAATACACAACATTAATGGAAAATATTCATGTAGAATAACCACTGAACCGAGATTCCTGAAGAAAATTGATACATCAAATAAACATTTACCCAAAAGTTTTGACAGTAAAAAAACTGTGAAACAAAAAATATTATTTTGAATAATATTCTATTCATTATTACAAAATTTTGCTATTATTGCACAACAGTTTCTACCCAACCTAAATATTTAGCTTTAGTGTTAATGTTAAAGTAAGCTGTATGATTTAAAGTAATAAATACCCCCGCCGCAGAAAACCTGCCGTCTAAGCGAATTTCCAATTGGCCGAATTGATTTTCAATTGATCTATTTAAATAACATTATTAGGTTTAACGAGTACCTAGGTTTGCTGCTACAAGGAAACTAATAAAGTTTGGTAGTGTGTTTTTAGTAAAATATTGTTAGCTTACCTTAAAATAAATAAATTTGCCAAGTTTGATCAAAATATATCCATAAACAAGCAAACTACAACATTTTACAATATTCTCCATAAGAATAACATGGGAATTTTAAATTTACCATTTTTTTTAGTTTTCTCCGTAACCAATAACCGTACAAAAACACTTTGGTATACTGAATTGTTTGTTTTTTTAAGCTCTTTAAGAAGGTTTATTGGGAAATTTTGTGTTTTGAGGGTAAAAAGTGAGAAAAACCAATTTTTACCCCATAAAACCCCCCATAAAACCCTGTTCCCATGGTCCGATCATGCTGTATCGCGAACTCATTCAAGTTTATCCCGCCTTACACCTTCAAACCAAATTTCATCAAAATCGGATAAAAATTACTCAAGTTATCGTGTTCACGGACACATATATATATATAAATCTATATATATATATACATATATAAAAATTTGAACGAATGGTGTTTTTGGCTTCTGGGGACATTAAAATGAAAAAGTAAATCGGTCCCGGGCCTAAGTCTTACCATGAGACCTACGGTAATAGCTACTTCCCTATAGGGAAATTCGCTAAAATGCAAGGAATATAAGGATCTGCTTCCATATTATCCTCAAGTCTTTGTATTATGTAACAGTAAATTACCCCAGCAGTGATCAATATTATTGACATATATGTAAAAATAAAGAAAGCAATTACAAGGCTTCGATCAGAAGGACATAATTTGTATTACAATGATTTGCAAAGTTGTACACTATCCTCACTACTCAATCACTAAGTACTTGGAACAGTGCTCAGGAGGAGTTATAGGGGGGAGGGGTGAATCCATACTGTAATACATATGTTTACCATGCATTAAAACATTGCTCCGTCTTAGTATGGTATATACTTAGGATAGTATACCAACTATCCTCGGCTATATGGTGTGTTTGTTAATTTCGATCAAATTAAAAACATTGGTTTTTATTTAGGACCTATTAAAACCACTTTGTGTTTGGTGATTTGCTAATTTGAATAAACATCTGTTTATTCCGTTTATAAAACTTGCCAATTAATGTTTTAAAACCTTTTTTGTAATATCTGGGGAAACTGCCTTAAACAAAGAATTGGATGCCAGGTGCGTTTATGAGCCGTAATTTTGCGTGCTTTGTTGAACAAACTTGCATTTGAGAAAATGTAATTGGAATTGCTAAAGTCAAATTTGAAATATTAAGCTTTTTAAAACTTACTTAAAAGAATCTAAAAAGCCTGAGGTTCTTTAAACTGGGTTTTTCAAACATAGTTTACTACTAAGGTCAAACACTACCTTATTTGTACAATAGTATTCGTATACACAATATCCAATTCAATAAATGTGTAAAGACTATAACAAGCTCTTTACCATTTAGCTAGATTTCAAAGAAATATACACTTAATTACTGTATAGTTAGGTATCAGTTGATTCATTATAAAACTGCCTCTGCCACGTGTTTCCATATATAGAAGTACCAGCCGTCCACTGGCTCCAATTGACTTCATTGTTGGAGAAAGAAAAACCAAACAAACAGCTTCTGACTTGCACTTAATTGAGCTTCACATCAGAAGGCGGATGCTTCAGTTGTAATGAACCATTAGCTTCATTACCGGTGTTTTTACCCTGTAACTCCATTTTGACGCAAAAGTTCCTTGACAGTTTCACATAATCGTATATAATATTAACGCTATACTTATTTTAGTAGTTCCTTCAAATGATTTAAAAACAAATGATTGTAATTTTACTCAACCGATGTTTTATATAATTAAAAAATAATAATGAAAATGCATATTTTTCACATGATTATTAAATGTGTACACTTTTCCTGTATAAACTATTTAATACCGATCAGTCAGC